CCTCAACCACCCAAACTGGTTACTTTGTACTCCCCAGTCTCACCCTAGCCCATCAGCCTGTTTTATTGCCTTCATGCACAGATCATGATATATATTGTTTTACTGATTTACTGTTTGTCTAACCCCTCTACTCCCATGAAAGCTGAATGGGACTTTGCTTCTCTCTTTGAACACTGCTGTGTTTTCAGCACCTTTAGCAGTGTATAATATACAATATGCTCTCAATAAACGCTTGTAGGAAAAAAAAAAAAAAGACTAATGGATGACTGCATAAACAAATGTACCAGTTCACTAAATAGAAAAGTTAGAGTGATTAAGGTAGAGAATGGAGAATGGCAAGAGACGTATCAAACTTGTGTAGGAACAAGGGCCATGCAGGGATTTGACAGCCCTGGATTTTAAACTGAAGATGACCAGACTATACATTCCTTCAGCCCCAAGACAGGATTTCAGAACCACCAGAAAGACCTGGAAACTGAGAAAAGAGCTGAGTTATCTTCTGATAACTCAAGGCAGGAGGAGAGCTAGGAACCCTCTCTGTATTCCTGCCTTCCTGTCTGAGTTGTTAGTTTTGAGATCTGGAAATGCAAACAGGACTGCCTTGCTTAATGCTTTAGTCTGTTAAAGAGGACAAGACATCCTCAGCGAAGTTAAGCCTGTTGAGAATCAAAACAGAGTCCAGAGTCTGGCAAGTGGCAGAATATGGACATGGGAGGAAAGTGACGATGGACAGGAGACGGAGAGCAGCCTCAGTGCTGCTTACAACACATGGGGTCGGGTAGGGTCTCATTTGTGGGCCTACAAAGACTGTGCAGAAAACAAAGGCAAAGGCAGGAAGTACAGAGAGGGTTCCCAGCTCTACTCTTGTCTGGGGAATCCAGTTGGAAGAGGATGGAGAAGACAGGAGCTGAAGAGCAGGCTGCAGGCTGAGAGGTACTGCTGTGCAGAGCCTGGGGTGCTGAACCACAGCTCATCTTGTTAGAAGATGAGCAAGCTTGGTAAGGGACAAGATGCAATGTGCTCACAGGAGACTCACGATCAATGAGATCCAGAGGACTAATGACGAAACTGGAGGGTTATAAAGAAAAAAGAGCCAATAATATTATGAAGCCAAACACCTTAGAGGCCAGTGCACCTGATATGGGGCACCTACTATGTCTCAAGCATTGTGCTAAGTAATGACCTTATACGTTCATTCATTTAGTCTTTGTAATGATCCTCTGAACTAAAAAAAAAAGTATTTAAGGTTTAAAAAAAGTATGTCATTTGTATGACACAGCTAGAAAGCAGCAGAGCAAGGGCTTGAACCCAGGTCTGTCTAGTTTCAGAAACTAAGCTCTGGGAGGAGGTACTTAAGGCAAATAGAACACACAGTAGGCAGTGAGGGGACAATCGGCCCAAGTAGTCACTGGTTGTTGGTGTTCCCTTTACCCTCACCCAGCAAGTCACTGCTGGGTCCTCTACCATAGCCATAGCTCTTCCTAGGGAACCTACCCCCACATCACTCTGAGTCCCCATGGCCTGCGTGGGGCACTATCCTCTTCTTGGAGTGAAGTACATGCCAGTCAGCCTGTGCCAATCAGCATGGTGCATTCCCTGGCCACAGCAGATGGTGTACAATATAAATGGGATCTGGGAGTTTCTGGCTCTTTCTTGCTGGACTTGAACCTGAATGGCACTAGTCTGGGGTCACTGCAGCTATCTCACCACTAGATCCCAGATATGCCAGGAACATCCTTATGGAGCTCAAGAGGGTGGGCAGAGTCCAGAGCCTAAGAGAATAACTTAAAAAGAGATTATTGGAGCTCTGAACTCCGCTGCTCGAAAGCCAGATCCATCTTGAACTTTTTAGTTACTTGAACCAATAAAGCCCCCCTTTAAGATAAATTTGTCAGTATTTCCTGTCACCTCCAATCAAGCATACTGAGATTTGGCCAACTGTGATGATGCACACCTATAATCCCAGCACATGGGAGGCTGAGACAGGAAGATGGTCACAAGTTCAAAGGCAGCCTGAGTTACATAGTGAATTCAGCCTGAACTACAGTGTGAGAACCTGTCTCAGAACAAAACAAGAACAAAATGCTGGTATTTTACCATCATTCATAAAGAAAGCATCTGTTTGTATGAACAAGGACAGATGATCTGGGTGAGAAATGCTGGAGGAAAGGATAAAAGCTACTCCTGGGGCTGCCCACTTACAGAGGGAGATGTTTCCAATGTACATCACCAGGCTGGAGGGGAGGAAAGATTTAGTCCTGCCTGACAAATCACATTAACTAACCAAATGTCTGAACATCTTATTCTGGAAAAACAGAACATAAGTCTGTATTTTCTTGGCTGACAATTTCACCTCTTAAGAAGGAAGAGGGGGCTGGGTATCATGGCTCACACCTGTAATCCTAGCACTTGGGAGGCTGAGGTAGGAGGATCACTACAAGTTCAAGGCCAACCTGGGCTATACAGTGAGTTCAAGGCCAATCTGACTGTAGAGTGAGACCCTGTCTCAAAACAGAAGGAAGAGGGAAATGGTAGTTGTCTTTATTCTAACACAGAAGGTAAACAAACTTTTTCTTTTTTAAAGGGAAGAAAACTTGGGCAAACATGATCACAGGATTTAAAGAGTTCATTAAGAGGAAAATATGAGTAAGTTTCAAAAAGTTATGGAAAATGCAATACCTTGGGACCTTAAAAGGAAATGATTTTTTCCAGAACCAAAATTATGATAGCTAACTACAAATTCTTTAGGTAGGTAGAAGTTAAAACAAAACATCCAAATATTGGCTAGCAAATTAAGCCTCAAGAGTCCTAGATAGATGTCATTTATCAATCACAGCATCTCTCCCTGTTAAGGCCAATGTCACTCTAAAATTCTCCTTTACCTAGTAGCCTAGCAAACCAAAATGAGCTGAGCAAAGTTAGGATATGTTATGGTTTAAATATGAAGTATTCTCTCAAAGATTCAAGCCTTAAGGACTTAGTTCCCAATGTAGCAATGTTCAGAAGTAGGTGCCTAGAGAGGTGACTGGACTTTGAGGACACTTAACTTCATCAGTGGATTAATCCATTGATAAGTTAGTAGCAAAATGAGCTATCAGGAGGTGTGGTGCAGGTGGAGGAAGTAGGCCACCATGAGCATAACTTTGAAGGGTATATCTTGTCCCTACCCCCTTCCTCTCTGTTTGTCTCTGCTTTCTGGATGCCATGAGGTGAGCAGTTTTGCTCCACCGTGCCCTTCTGTCATGATGTTTCTGTCTTATCACAGATCTAAAAGCAATACAACCAGCTGACAATGGACTGAAACCTCTGAAATCACGAGCCAAAATAAATCTTCTTTAAGGTGCTTTTCTCAGGTATTTTGTAACAGTGATGACAAGCTAACACAGGATACAAGAAACCATTTAGTTTACACTAAGGATATCTTCATTTACTATATTATTCATTTACTTATTCATTCAAAGAATGAAAATTGAAGACTGGAAAATAGTGACCATTAGGAAATGGCATGTGCTCTAAGAGTAAGGTGTCAAAACTACTCAGTTTCCTCCTCCTAGGATGGCCAAGGAAATGCAACGACACTATGGAGACACCAGAAGGCTACTGGAAGAGACTTTTAGATCATCACAGACATGATGGAAAAATTCAGGTTGGATTATAAGGGTAGGCGGCAGAGTCAAAACTAACAGAACACCTGTAGTCAAGAGTTATTCACCGAGGGCTCATGGAGTGATTGCTCAGGCAGTCTTTGGTTTTGTCCTGTTCAAGATATCCATTTATTCACTCTTCCGTTCTCTCATTCGCTTATTGAACAGTCATCTGAGAGCTTACTGTGCATTAGATGTTGTACAGAAAAAACAATGATGCTTCCGGTGTGAAGCCTAGGACACGAAAAGTAGATAAAAGTGTAGGGCATGGTGACAGGTGCTTGGATTGAGGGTAGAGCCTGAACCTACCTGGCCTGTTGAAGGAGACCACTATCTAAAGCAATGATCTGTCTGCCTCTAGAAAGAGGGTATGAAGCTACAAAGAACTATGAGTACCAAAAATTATAGAAACAAGAGTTAGAAAAGGTCAACAAACTAAACTATACCAAGAGAAACCTAGACCCATTTAGTGAAACGTTGCGCCCTTAGCTTGGTGGAGAATATGCCCTTAGTTTTTGGGTTTTTTTTGTTTTTTTTTTCGGGGGGCAGTCATCTTTTTAAGAAAGAGTCTCATTCTGTAGTTCAAGCTGGCCTTGAACTCACTTTGTAGCCCAAGCTGGCCTTCTCCTGCCTCAGCCTCCCAAGCGCTGGGATTATAGGCATGCACCAGCCACACCCGGCTTGCCCTTAGTTTTGAGGTCTCACTGAAGGAACACTGTTAAGGTGGCCTCTATCTGCAGTAAGGAATCCAGATAGGGACAAATGAGGTATGTGACAGCTAAATGCATATTCTGACACTTTCTGAGAGCTTCTCTGTTTTCTCTGAGCCCCTTGACCCCATTCGTATTTCTGCTTGGCATTTTCTCAGGCAGTGATTTATAACCAGACTCAGCAATCTCACAACCCCCAGGACATGGGAGACAGGTATAGCACATCTTTAGCTGGCAAGATCTTTCTTCCCTGCCTTTCTCCCTTCTATCCCAAAGTTGTCCTTTCCTTCTACCCAAGAGAAAAAAAAACTAGGGCTGAGAATATAGCTCAGCAGCACAGCACCTGCCTGGCAAGCATAAGGCCCTGAGTTGGATTCCCGATACAAAAAAAAGAGGGGGGGGGGAACTAAGTGTATCCTGCACAGTTGGGCCACTCTTTTGGACCTTAATGTTTCTGTATTGGTGAAGAAAGAGAACTAGCTAGCATCTACAGGAGTTTCCAGCTACAGCAGAGAGCACTACTCAGTTATGCATTCTCCTGCTGGAAACACTCCTAATTAAAAAGTATTGAAAAGAGAGGGCAATGAGTAAATGGAGGAAGGTCAGGCACCAGAGGATTCATCTGGGACTCCCCAGTAGGACTGACCTCTTCAGTGATGATCGAGACAGCACCTGTGCAGCCTGGTTCATGGCCCTCACCCAAGCGTTCATGTCCTCCAGGGTGTCAGCACTGAAGTAGTAGGTCCTCATGCCTGACTGCTCGGCCTGGGAGCCTGCCGTGGAGCTGTTGTAGATAAGCGCTCGCATCCCCGTGTGCACAGCCTATAAGTATGGAAACAGAAAGCCAGGACAGAGGTCAGCACATGTTTCCTTTCTGGGAAAAAGAACAGTGGTCATGCTCTTCCTCTGCCAGGCTAAAACCCCAACACCAGCCAGCTTATCTCCACACCTAAAAAACGCCATGGGCTGGATTCCATTTTCCTGTAGACAGGCCCAGTGATGGCTGTGTCTCTTACCCCTAAGCAAAGCCCTGGAACTGTACTTGTTCCCTATTTATCTTATTCCTGCCTAGGGTAGGGTACAGAGGCAAGGCCTTGATAGGAAAGAGACTGTGTGTGTGTGTGTGTGTGTGTGTGTGTGTGTGTGTGTGTGTGTGTGTGTGTGTGTGTGTGTACGGTGCTGGGAATCAAACCTAGGGCCTTGCATGCTCGGCAAACACTGTACCACTGAGCTATAGACCCAGCAGAATAAATCGTTTTTAAGAAACCCTCATTCTATAGAAGCAGACACTTGGGAATATCTATTTTGGTTCCTCTGAAGCATGCAATTCCTGCTTTGGCTAAAATCAGATAAGAACTGAGTCCAAATCCACTGCAACAGCATGTGGCTTGGTATAAATGTTCAGTGTGCTTCAACTTCTTGGCATGAAATGCAACGTGTGTCCATCAAAGATGCTGCTGCAGTATCTCTCCAAAACAAGATACTAGTGAGTAGGAAAGAGCTGACCAACATTTAATTAAACATTTTGATAAACCTACTATGTGTCTCTGCTTCAGTGTGTGTGTACATGTGTCCTTGTTTTTTTTGGTTTTTCTCCGGTGCGGGAACCGAACTCACGACCTTGAGCTTGCCAGGCAGGCGCTTTTGCCGCTGAGCTAAATCCCCAGCCCCACATGTGTCCTTGTAAAGCACTTCAGACGTTCTGGGGGTGACTGTGAAAAGTGAATGAGATAGTTTCCAAAGCAGAGGCAGTACCAGTTTTCTCCCCGTGACTTTTAAATTTGTAAGAAAAAGGCTCCCTCAAGTTACAAAGGAAGATGGTGTAGAAATAGGAAGATTTATTGGGCACCTATGACACCTGAATGTGTCTCCTGAGTACTACACCCAAATTTTGATCTCATTTTAATGCCAACACCCTTAACATGCAGGGACAGAATCTCTGTTTTACAGATGTGGTTAATGAAGCTCTGAGATACGAAATGCCTTTCCAAGATACCCACATATAGTAACAGATTCTTCACACCATTTACTACTAATACTATTTATTTTATGTACTTGCTTATCACCTTTTATCATCTCCCTTCTCCCTCTAGAATAGAAGTTCCATGAGAGCAGGAAACTTTTCTATCGTGTTCACTAATATTTCCCCACCAACAGTTCATGGCACATAGTAGGTACTCCATAAATTTTGTTGAATGAATAAAAAACTATAAAGTTCAGGTCTGACTTCAAGTCTAGGCTTCTCTGTACAATGCTTTTTGCAGGTCCTATCCAGAAATGAGGGCAAATATACACGGATCCTATAATCTGGATCTATGATAAAAGGCAGGCCCCACCAAGACCAGTCAGATAAAACAAAACATGAACCTGTTAAAAGCTGGGAAATGACATGCTTTTAGAAGAGAGGGAAGGAAATGTGGAGGGTGAAACTTCACTATTTACTTCTCCCTCTACTCCTAGCATCTGGGTCTAGAATGCCTATTAAATACTTCTGACATCTACATGCCTGAGCCCATCCAGTCCAGGGCCAAAGAAGTATGCGCAAACTTGGCCTGTAGCCAAGATCCTAGAGTGGCCAAAAAAAATCTCATATTCTTCCTTTACACACCTCACATGTTGACTATACCCCTTATTTTAGCGAGGCACAGCATCTTATTGATGCTGTGATAAGAAAAGAATGAGAAGAAACTTGTGTAGGTTTTACTGTGAATCAACAGAAATTCTTGGAAAAGTTCCCTAGGCAATATCCTCAAAAGATCTTTGATATGCCCTCCTAGCATTTCTTGCCCAGCCAAAGAGGGTCTGAACAGGTACAGTGAGCAGAGAAGGTTGCTGAGGTACAACAACTCATGGAACTAGCCTTGTAGAGAAATCAATTCAGGACATACTTCAAGCATACAGGTATGAGTCTGCACGCCTGTCTGCAAACAGGCCTTGGGAATTGTAGCCACCATCATAGAGGAGTCATGCATGATTGTAACTACAGCCAGGCATGGTGGTTTGAGTTCAAGGCCACCTTGAACCACACAGCGAGGCCCTGTCTCAAAAAGACAAAAAAAAAAAAAAAAAAAAAAAAAAGATTGTAACTACAACTATCCTCACTAACCCAACCACCAGGTGTGGGTGCAGCTGCTCTGGACTCTGAAGATCAGGTTCCCAGCTGCATTCTGACTGTGCTGGGGCAGGTATGTTAACTGTGAAGACAAGAAGTCCAGGGAGCTTCCCTTCCATGCAGACAAGGGACCCAAGCTCAAAGTGCCCCAAGAATGAGGAAGAAATATGTGAGGGTCCAGATGACGTGAAGTCTTCTTACCGCTGTCCTTGTTTTACCATGGAAATGGTTCCTTCCTCTCTACTCTTTGCTTCTCAGATAACACAATCCCACCAGACAACTACATGATTGAATAGAAACTAAGCTACACCTAAAGGAAATGACGTAAGCAAGAAAACATTTACCTGAAAAACACAGTGCCCCTAGGAGGACTGCTGTGCTGGCTGTTAGATGTTAGGTCTGGACATAGCACTGGTAAAGAGAACCAGACTCCTCCCCGACAACCAACATCGCCCCACTCCCCGTCAGACTTTAGAACAGAAAAACTAGGTGGGAAATACAGGAACACTCACAAGGCCAGGGCCACCAAGTAACTGATGCATTCTTTATTTTAGAAAGAGTCTCACTATATGGTGCAAGCTGCTTTGAATTCACCATGTAATCCAGGCTGGCCTCGAACTCATGGCAATACTTTTGCCTCAGCAAAAGTATTAAAAGTGTGCACTGGGATTACAAATGTGTACCACCACACCTGGTCTGATGCATTTTTGAGCTTATTCATACCACAATAATCTACCATTTATTGAGTATTTATCAGGTGAAAGGCTCAGTACTAGAAGATGGAGGGACAGTTCTAAATAAGGCCATGATAGTTTAGAGCCAAGTAGAAGAAAACCCACAGACAAGTAACTACCACTGAAGTAACTGTTGTTGAGAGACTCAGGGTCCTGTGAAAGAAGAAAGCGGACCCAGAGAAACCCATATTCAAGCTGACTTCCACACGATAAGCAGCTACACTAGGAACAGCAAGGAAATGATGCTAAGATCCCAAGAAGGACAAGAGCACAGTGTTCTCCTCCTCAAGGATGGGACCAGTGTGACTAGCACAGAGAAACAGAGGGGGCCAGCATGAAGTGAGGCTAGGAAAGGCCAGATCTCCAGAGACTTGTAGCTGTCTGCAGGTCTGTCTGCAGAGCAGTCTCTGCTCTCAGAATCTGAAGACCCCAAACACATGACACCTTCTGACAGATAAGATTCAGTGCACATTGCTGGTGAAGTCTTTCCAAGGAAAATTTTGGGGGGAGTATGAATCTAAAATACATAAAAGATGTTTTCTTAGAATCTATTTTCACACCTCCCAATGAAGTGTTAAGATGAAATATGTACAGATAGCTACAAATTACTTAGAGGATATTCCAGATGCTGTTCCCCCAGGCACATGCAAACTTGTTAGCCAAATTGCTTGCTCAATAGCAATGCTCAAACACCAGGGAAAAAAAGGGTTTTCAGAGTAATTCTTTCAGGCTGCAAAAGCCAAGCCTGAAAACCATTTAAAAACTGATTTTAGTGAGGCTCCTAAGCTACAGAATAGAAGAGGGTTCCTAACTGACACAGTAAGTAGTCATTTATTCAAATCATCCCAGCCTCCTGCAGTGTTCAGGAAGTGATAGAGATAAGACATGGTAGAAAAAGAAAAAAGGAAAAGAAAGAAGTTGTGTCCCCGCCTTGAAATACAACTGAAAGAGGGTACAATTCAGGGCCAAGTTCTGCCTCTATCACCTTCCAGCTTTGTGACTTGGGACAAGGTTCCTAAGCGTTCCAAACCTCACATCCTTAATCTCTAAATGAAGCCAATAATACTGACTTCACAGGCTCTCAGGAGCATTAAAGGTGGTAACAAGTATGAAAGTGCTTGGTTTTACAGACAGAAGGCAATACTGCTCTATGCAACATAACACTTGGTGGTGCCTAGAAGGGAAGAAAGGACTACCTCAAACCTATGGATGAGTGAAGCAGAAGCAACAGCTGGTTCTGTGCTCCCTTGGGAAGTAATGGGAGCAGGGAGAAAAGCTGACTTTCCAAGCACCACTACCAGAAACTCCAGATCAAGATGCTGGTGCAGGGGCTGGGGATTTAGCTCAGCGGCAAAAGCGCCTGCCTGGCAAGCGCAAGGTCATGAGTTCGGTTCCCAGTACCGGAGAAAAACCAAAACCAAAAAAAAAAAAAAAAAGATGCTGGTGCAAATGATCACTTTGGAAAACCCTCTCAGATTGAGGATGAACTGCTAACACCAAGGTCACTATGTGCAAATGCTCTCCTTCAACCCTTCTAGAAAACAATGGGTATCTTTTCCAAGGTCCTTTATCTATTTCTGGAAAAGGTGAGTTCTGTGCAATCTCCACTGTTGTACCTACTGTCTAGTGCTCATCTTGTATTCATAACATGGGACAGTCAAGCAACAAGTGTAGCTGGGGCAGGAGCCCCTATCCAGTTGGAAGTGCACCACACCACCTCATACCCTGAATGGCCTCAGAGGGCTGTGCTCTGGGGCTAATGGGATCAAAGGTTTCTTGCTGCAGGGCTCTCTGGCACTTATGTTTCAACTACCAGCAAAACGAATCTTCAGTCTGTCACACTCACACCATCCTTGGGAGGCCCAAGAAACACCTGCAGGAAAGGAATCTTGGGAGACCACCAATGCAGAAGGCAAGACCTTGGGACTCCCCAAGTTTAGGCCTAACTACTACCTTCCTGTGTCCTCCACACAGGTGCCAGAGGGCATCAAAGGACCCATGGCCTTCAAATGACCACAGTCCCACTCCCTCCAAATGGCCCAGCAACAAAGTAGAAAAGGAGCTCCACTATTTGAGGATCTTCAATAATCTAAAAAATAAAGTGATTGCATTCTAATTATTTTTCAACAAGATAAACAAAGTAGACAAGCCTGACCAACTCTTCAACATGCAGACCCTTACTGCTCAATATGAGTTTTCATAATGCAATTGACAAATTCACTGTGGGATCATCAGCTGCACCACCTGCGTACTAGTTAGACTGGCTGACTATGGTAATAAGAAAGCATGAAAAGGGCTGTGTTAGACATATAATTCCAAGATGAGGAGCCATAGGGAAAAGCGAGTCTAAAACCTTCAACAAGACAGGGGGACTTGAAAACTCAGCTTCACATGGAAGTACAGGTGACATGATATTATTTTTGTCTAAATAATTTATACATTGGTACTGAGTCTGAAAAAATCTAGCTTCTGAACTTCTTCTCCCTCCCCACAAAAGCAACTTCTTTCCTCAAGACATTTCTGACCATGGTTGTTATGATGAAATTGCTGTGTTAGAGAAGGGTAGCACCTTAAAGGAGTACTTGCGACTTATGCGATCCTCAGGGCCCACGGGCGAGATCACATAGCTGGGCAGAGGGATGCTTCCCAGGACCACTTCTTCTCGGCTGTCTTTGAATGGAAAAACACATCAGAACAACCTTCAGGGCAACTTCCCTGGGTACCCTATTTAGGGCTCCTTCTGTCTCCCAAGAACTAAAGCCATCTTCTTTGCCCAGGTCACATGGGTGCCCCTTGTGCATGGATGTGCTGGTGCAGGAACACACAGGTAAACTAGACATGGGGCTTTCCCCAAAAGCGTGTGAATGGAGAGAGTCATGTGAACACATTCAACTCAACCTGCTAATTCCTGAGAAAGGGCAGAGTGCCAAGTGCAAGCAGGATCCATGGTTTGGGGAAGTCACAGTTTAGGAGGTGTTTCATGTGTTTTTAAGGATGGGAAAGAGTATTCTACACAAAGTGAAGCTCACATGCAAAACTACAAGCATATGTGAACAATTTTCCTACTTCTATTCTCCCCTTCCTTCAAACCTACTCCATACTCAGTGGTCTCTTACTTTCTAGTGATAGGGTTGGTCTTGCTGATTTCCAACTGAAAGGCACTTACTGATTCCCCACTGGACACAAAACAAAGCCCAAATTCCCCCTGCCTGTGACAGCCTTTTGGTCTTGGCCCATACCCATCTCCTGAGCTGTACCTCAGGATACCTCAGGAGGTTTAGCTTAGCATTCTGTCTGTCATTCCACCTTCTCCTGCATCTAAGACTTTCTCAAGTTGTGTCTTTTCCTTGTAATGCCCATCTCTACCAACATAGGTAAACCTCCACCAATCCTTAAAAATCCAACTCAAATCTTATCTCTTCTAAGAAGACTTCTTAGATTCTCCAGCAGAGAACTTACTCCTTGGTCTCCCTAATAGAATGGCTTAAGGATTTTGGATGTCTTGGGAGAGACCCTAAATAATACGTAAAATGGATTCTATTCACTTGAACTCAACAGCTTGGCCTTTCAGTGTCAAGACCAGTAAAACTGGACTCACCCAAGAATCCACATATACAAAAGTAAACACTTGGTGAAGTAACGGCCTCCTAATTAACTCAGGCTATTGATCCAACTACTGGATTTAAGAAATCATTATCTGCATCCCCTCACCACCCTCTTGCACAAAGAGCCCTTGGTGGCCTGAGCCTCAAGCTCACCTTTATAGTAAAACAAGCAGTAATCAGCAAGCACAAACCACCTCCTTTTCCATAGTCTCATCCCAGAACTGTCCTGAAAAACAAAGCAAAGCATTAGGGGATATCTGAACATTCTATTCCCCTCCAGTAATGTACTACCTGATTCTGGAAGCAATGCTTGCCTATATTCATGTTTTTTGTTAATAAATTAATGAATGGTTTTGCTGAATAGCTATTCTTTGGATGGAACATTAAATTTAGACTCAACAATAGCTTATCACTGGAAGTTGTTTTTTTTTTTTTCTTTTCTTTTTGGTCTCCTGGAAACAAAATTTTTATAATCTACCTTCTAGAAAAAAAAAACATGAACTCAAAAACATATGTGTCCTATTAATAGAGGAATCCACTTTTTAAACAAAGTTTTGTTTTGTTTTAGATGCCATGCTATAAAATATCTTTCTTTATGCTGAATAGAAAACTGAATTTACATAATATTGAATAGAGTATAAGTTAGCTAATTAACTGAAGCAAAGCTCTCATTTAACTAGGCTCAGTTCTCTCCCATAAGGGACTGATTTTGTTGTTGTTTTCCTTCCATTCAATGTAAAGAGATTTGGATTCGCTTTGCTATAAAATTTCCTCATAATGAGTCAGTCTTTATTCATCTAAAATGTAAGCCTTTACATTTATTAAGAACATTTTAAATAATCATGAAAATTGAACAACATGGCCAAGACAGAAAAACAGCAATGTTGTAAGGTCATTCTCCTAAACCTAGGAAAACTACAGAGATGATTTTAGCTTAGAAATAGCTGTTAAAATCTCTTGCGTATGCATAACTTTTTAATAGGCTTGAATTAAGACAAAACAACATTGGTAATTTCTAAATCTAAACACAACAAGGGGTTTGTTCATCCTCCACTAACCAAACTGCTAAAACAATTTAACCAGATGGTGACATCCATTTATCACTTTTATCTTCTCATAATCAACTAGATGATTTCTAAGGTCTTGGCACATGTTACCTGCTCCCTTTCTTAATGGTAGACCGCTTACCCATCCCTCCACACTGGTTCACGTCACTTTTCCTGAGAAACGTTTCTGGACTCCTCAGACTCGACTATGCTCTACTAGGCGTTCACAGGGCTCAATACACAACTATTGTGGCTACAGGAGAGTCAATGACTGGCAAGGGGATTGGCACAGGAAAAGTTATTTATGATCTCTTCCCTTTCCTGTCATGTTTTCAAGGAGCATACTTTGTTTAAAGGAGGCAGGAATGTACATGGAACAAAATCAGACGGCTAAATTATTCAGCTAAGAAAAGAGAAGAATAGAGCTATGAGGGAGAAGGCCAGCTAGAGAAGGTGGGCCTGAGGCAGGTCTGATATAAGAGGCTAACTGAGGTGGGAGCTGTTTTGGGGAATAGAACTGGGGAAGCAGATGTCATGGGGGCTTTTGGAGATTCCTCCTATGTGATATGTAACATGACTTTCCTAGGGTGAATGTCATTTGGTGGCTTTGGAGGATGCTACCATATGATAAGTGAGAGTCTGGGTTCGGTGACGATGTGACATGAGGTATGTGCTACTTTCCCTGGTAGACAGTGAGGTCCTTGAGGGTAGGAATGGATTGCTACTCATCCATTTATCAGAACATGGCAGGCACTTGGGAAGCAATGAATGGCAAAAAGAGAAGGAAGGGGACAAAAGAGCCATGGCCACTGGCCCTGGGAACTCACAGCCTACCATGGCCAGAGGACCAAAGGCAGATGAACTGGGAGTGGGGATGGACATGCAGGATGGCTTCAGGAGATATAGAGCTGCCAGGGCTTCTTGAATGAATAGATATAGGAAGAGGGGGAGCAGGCAACGGTGCTGAGATCTCTAACCTGCACACCTGGAAGAGTGGCAATGGTACCACATTGCTAAGATCCAGAGAAAGCAGGATGAGAAAAGAAGTAAGCGATCAGGAGACAGTGAGCCAAGTCTGGCTGATTGGGGATATGAGGTGATAAAGAACTAAAAACATATGTTAGACAAGGAGGAGAGGAAAAGATAGGACTCTTCAGCCAAACAATAACAAAGACTTTGAGGACTAGCAGGAAAGCTGGATTCAGGTTGACCTAGTCACACTAGGGTCTGGACTCTAGAGCAACCAATGCCAGTAGAAGTCAAAATGGTCAAGTGGGTTTGGGGAGAGAAGCTGTAATCACTCAGCACAGTGGTCACAATGTACCTTCTCCAGACAGCCTCGGGAACACAAAGCTTCTGTACTTGTCCCCAGTGTACAGAAGGGAAAGAATCCAGTAGGAGTCACCCCTGCATTCCCCCTCAGCCTACTCACCTGCTTGTGCAGCCAGCCCCTCACCACCACTGGAACATTGGGGTTTCTCCGAATGGCTTGATCCCTCTTCCCAAAGCTGTGGACTTTATTGCTGGACTTGATGATCTAGCAAAAAGTAGAATGAAAGTCTAGCAGCTGAGGGTTTAGGAAAGGATAAAAAAGCACTTACCTACTAGGAGGGCTGTCAGCTTTCTCTGCCTTACTCTAAGTTGCAGCACCCTTTGATCAGAGCAGTACTGATACAGAACAGGCAAGCACATGGCCACAGCATTTAATTAAAAAGCTGGTCCAAGACCTGGCAAGCCTCCCAGCTGGGTCACAGAAAAATTTAAAGGGATTTTTCAATCAACTCTTACCAGCAGCTGTTGGCTCTAATATGTCCTGTGGCATTCTGGAGCAAAGCTACTTTTTGGACACAGATTTTGCCAATCTCTTGATCTCTGCACCACCTATATAGGTTCACCCCTCAGCACTCTCCTGCTTTTTGCAATTGTGGCTCTTTTCCTTGCTCCTCAGTCAGGGTCCCCACACCCTGAGCACAGAAACTTTTGGGCTCTTCCCAAGAACACCCTCCCTCAGACCCATCAGACACCAAATCCTTCCAGGTTCTCTCTAACTCGCATCCCCAAGCGAACAGAGGTGTGGCCTTTTCAACAAATGCCAGAAAAGTGAGGCATGCGCACAAAGACTCACATATCACTCCTGGTCTGTTGACAATCACCTGCTTTCCTGGACAAGGGACAAAACTCCTTTTGACCTTAATTTTCTGGCCTGTCTTTTGGGAAAAACATTTCTTATAGGTCTCCCTCACAAAACTGTGGTGATGATCAAGTGGGCTTCTAGCTAAAAAGGGGCCTGGCATATATATATATGCCAGAACATGGCAGGCACTTGGGAAGCAATGAATGGCAAAAAGAGAAGAAAGGGGACAAAAGAGCCATGGCCACTGGCTCTTCATATAATATAAAAGAGAAGAAAGCAGAAACTAATGGCCAGGAGCTCACCTTGGGTCCAGGCTTGGCCTCCAAGGTGGACGTGGTCCCAGCTGTGGATGATTCACTGACCATGCTGGACGGTCTTTGGTTTCTCTCTTGCTTTGACATATGTGAGTTTGGCCTGAGGGAAGAGGTAGAGGGATTCAGAGAGTAAATGACAAGCTGCAGAGTGGGAAGTGAAGGTTTAGATTTACTGCAGACTGGAAAGAGCTGGTTGGCCTCAGAACAACCCAGACTGGTCTTTTGAAGACTATATAATTCCAGACAGCAGCCAGAGGCCACAAAGTCTAGCCTGCCCCGGTGCTCCAAGGAGCTAAGAGGATGACAGATGGACATATCTCCACAGAGAGGACCAGACTGTCATCTCTGCCTGTTATCCTTAGGTCCCCACACTTATTCAAGCAGCTGTGGCAGATGCCCCATCTAGTGGGCATGCACCACTCGTCACAGCAGGCAACAGCAATCTGTACACATGCACGCACACCTCTACCTCCTCAGCTCCGAAAGAAGCTGTATATAATTAGTAACAAGAAATCACTTGTGCACACATCCACACCCTCAGATCCATACAGAGAATGCTTACATAAATGCCAGTGGGGCTTGCCTCCCAAAATAGATTGCTCAACAAAGAGTCCTATTCTGAGAACACTACGTTTTGCCCCAGAAATAGACCTAACGACAATATTAACCCCTTGTGCCACGCACGGAGAGGAGGGAGAGACGAAGCAAGCTTTGGGCTCCAAGGAGGAACCTGGTGCTTCCCCATCTGCATCCTTGCAACAAGCCTTTACTGTTGGGAAGTTGCCCCAGGAGGGTCAGCACTCTGGGAACATCTCAGTATGACACTCAAGAGACATAAAAGAGCACCATCCTCACCTGCATCCAAAGAGCCCCTGCATTTGCCAGTCTTTTAATGCAACAGAAACAAATGTCTCCAAACAAATTCAATACCTATCCCTGAGAAGCTCAATGCCAAGTCCAGGATTAGTAAACTTTCCCTGGAGCAGGAGTCTCAGTGTTCTGTAGCTGGGTTTTGTTCACTGCTCAGACGGACAATAGGATCCACGCGATTAGATATAAAACCAGGCTACTGAAAATTCAGGCTCACTGACTGAAGGAAGGAGAAAATCTGCTTTGGAAGACTGAACCACGATGCTGAAGAGAAGGAGCTGGAGGATCCAAGCCAGATGAACTGAGGAAAAAGCACTCAGATGTCCTTCACTAGGCTTGCTTTTACAGCTTTGTAACAGGAAGTCCCAGTTTCCACTTCAGAGAGATGATGCTCCCTTGAAAGACCATGGATGCTAAGAGGATAAGTGATCCTTCCCATGCCTTAAGCCAGAGCCTCAATAACCCTGCACCACGAGAGAAGTTCACAGAAGTTGCCGTGACCACTGTGTTCCCTGAGCAGGGCCCTGACAGGTCCACTCTAGTGGGCACCAGTTTTCCAAGGAACTGAACCCTGTAGGCTACGTGGCAGTTGGAGGCGCCTGTTCCACCAGGCAGAATGCTAGCTGGCTCCTTATCAGCTCAGGCACTCACTCCAGATTCCCGCCCCAGCCTCCATTCCAGCCAGACTTTTGTTGCTACTCCCCACTCCAAGGGAGAATGTCACCAAGCTCAGCAAGCTGAGCTCAGCGCTGCCTATTGGCAGAGGCTGTGTGAGGCCAGATAATTATTGTTTGTGGGTGTGAAGGGGCTCTGAGAGGCTGCCTTGTCCACCCTCTGCCTCTAGGCACAGTTGAGTCCAAAATGTCTTCCCAGAATCTATGCCTTCCAGAAGTCTTGCCTGACTTCTGACTTCCAGGGGCCAGTCAAAAAAGAAGAGCTCAAAAAAAAAAAAAAAAAAAAAAAAAGAGAAAGAAGAGCTCCTGGCTTGCCTCAGTTAGGATGAATGTACCTCTTAGCTAAAATTCAGGACACAAGATCCAGTAACACAAAAAATCTAAGATTTTATCAAGTTTAATTTGCTCTCCCTTCACATACTAAGAGAAGCATATTATAGCATATTTGAGAAACACACACACAAAAAAAAAGCTGAAGGGGGAGGGGACACCCATCACATTGTTACCCAAAGCAAAATCATTTATAACTTCATATATTCTCTTTCATTCTTTTTTATATACTTGCTTTGGGTTTGAAGGAATGGGTGCTTTTTTGTTTCTACATAATTGTGATCACACCATATTCACATTCTTATTCTTACATTCTGATTCCTTAAAACATTGTAATATATACAACTTTTGCCACTTATTCTAAAATCATCCACATCACTGTAAATGACTCTATCACTTGCTATCAAGAGATACCTCATTCTACCTCTGTAGGACAAAGAAATGACTAGATTTGTGATTGGCCCAGGAAATCCAGAAAAAAAATGGACATTTGTGCCATTTTGGTACTTATAATCTCTAACCCTAACTTTACCACTGACCACTCCTGTCTCACATCTCCAACAGTATGGGGGAAACATGACTGTCCTGCAGTTTTGGCTAAGTGACGGGGGAGGGCACGACTGGCCCCTGGGGAGCCAGCTGTGAAGAGGTTTCAGCTAAAGAAAGACTGGTTTTGTGGCTGCAACACTAAACATCAGAGAGGGACAGTGGGGGGGCACGCAACACACAAGGACAAGTCCAGTCCTCATGCACTACATTGCTTGGCCTCACCTAGAGAAAGCTAAAGGGGAAAACTAAAATCCAAACTATGTCTGCCAGGGAGGAGATTGTGAAGTTTATACCAACATGAAGCTTGTCATCTCCAGGGCCTGGCATGGGCAGAGACTGCTCCTAATCAAGCAACAGACTCAATTCATACCTAGCAGCCCCAACCTGGCTCTTTGAAAGTACAAGGCGCATGCAGCTACCCACCCATCCAAGTAACAAAATCTGCCTTCTGAGCCTTCTTAAATGTCTGTAGGTTCTCCAAGAGTGATTATGACTTGGTTATGCTTGGGGACAGCAACAGCATCAAAAAATGGGGATACGAAAAAAGTCTCCAATTTTCCCACTTGGCTGGGAACATTCAGAGGTGAATTACACCAATTATAGAAACATCCTTGGTGTAAGCTTCCTGCACAGACAGCGCTGAAAGGAGAGACACTACCTACTTGGACATGAACATTCTGGTACATCTGCTTTAGCTAGTTTTCCCTTTCAGACGTGTTCCCCATTTGCAAGCCTGGCTGGCAAGGACTTGATTTGTCCTCAAGTCTGCAGGCTAAGTGTATACTACTGAGTCTCACCCAAGACATGTCTCCCTCCCCAGAGAAGAGCTTGCACCCTGAGCACAGCAACTTTGAAAAGTATACAGCTCCCACCAGCATGCCCTAGGGCGTACTGGGTCCCACTGATCCCCAGGAGAGAAGACAAAAAACAACAGGGGCTGGGGATTTAGCTCAGTGGCACAGCGCCTGCCTGGCAAGAGCAAGGTCGTGGGTTCGATTCCTGGTACCGGAAGAAAAACAAACAAAAACAAAAACAAACAACAACAACAAAAAACCCAGATACAGAGACTCTTGTGTCATTAGGTAAAATCTATTAACTTAAAAGCCTACTTGATCAGTTTCTGTGCTGTCTGGATTCTCAAAGTACAGTGGGATGGTTTGAACAAAGACCTCCCTCTCCTTGGCTTAAGTTACATGAATGCTGATTATTTTGCTGGAGGGGTATGGGCTGAAGTTCAAAACAGTGAGCTACAGTTTTAGTTCAACTGCCTGCCCTTACAAGTGAACAAAAGAAATGAGGACTACACAAAAAATCACTCTGGAGAAGCCCTGTTGGAAAATGAGTTGATTCTACTCTGAGCTCTGCCAGGGAGGGATATGTCAGGAGAGCCTGGGCAGGAAGTGACTTTCTCTATGACTCAATTTCCCTATCTATAAAAGGAGCTGCTTCTGCTCCTTGCCTGACATATAATGCTGAATACATATAATACTGACCAAATGAATATAATACTGTTATTCATAGCTAGAAAGACAGGTTGTGAATACAGAAGCCATTTTTTTTCTGGTATGTCTAAATTGGGTGGTTTTGTTTAATGGGATCCTCAGCTGCTTTTTTTTTTTTTTTCAGTACCGGGAATCAAACTCATGACCTCACGCTTGCCAGGCAGGCACTGTGCCGCTGAGCTAAATCCCTAGCCCTCAGCTGCCTTTCAATGAATGGTCTGGGCCAGGGATATAGCTCAGTGGCACAAGTGCCTTCCTGGCAAGCATAAAGTCCTGAGTTCAACTCCTGGTACCCAAAAAAAAAAAAAAAAAAAGTGTGCATCAATGAATGGTCTGAAGTACTAAAATGAAATCATAGCAAGGCCTTTCCTTGCCAAATCCACACAAGAAGTAGGTCACCAAGCCAAGTGTCAAAATGCTAACAGGTACAAAGTTTAAGCAAGAGAGGGATTGTTGCTCGCCTATACTTATCGAGCAGCTATGTGCCATGCACTTTTCCTGAATTATCTCAACTCTGAAAAGTCAGTTTTATCATCTCATTTTGCAGATGAGGAAACTGAACCCCAGCAAGGTTAATGACTTGCCCAAGACAGCACCTGGATTCTAAAACCTCAGCTTGCCACAAAGAGGTCATCCCACGAAAAGTCTCAAAGTATGAGAGAAATAGGCTTTTGCTTTTCTCACTCAAAAGCCAACCCCACAAACCAAGAAAATCTTGGCATGGTGGAAAGATCCAGATAACTGGATCTCAGCCATCCTCTAAAACTGACTGGCTCCTCCACAAATCACATCAGCTCCCTAGGCTTTTTATTCCATTTTGCAAAATGGAGTGGAAACTACTTCTCATCTCACAAGGCAGTTGTGTGGATTGAAATGACACTTTGAAAACCATGAAGCATTGGATGAAACAAAAAGCATTATTTGTAACTATTACCAGTATAGACCCCAGAATTTAAATTCCATCTACAGTTTACTTTTATTTCCAAGGCACTTCTCTCCAGAAAGCTGAAGGTGACAATTAGCTTCTAAACAATAATCATCTCCTATAAACACCTTTCTGAGACATTTTATTATTGTTTCAGTGCAGAAACATTGTGGAATAGGCTCCCATTCTGTAAAGATGTCAAGAGTCATCAAGGTCAAGTCATTAAGAAAGCCATGAGAGAGTATGGGGA